GTTCCCACAGTATTCTTGTCAGCAAGTTAAGGAAGTATGGGCTGGATGAATGCACTACAAGGTGGGTAGAAAGCTGGCTAGATTGTCGGGCTCAACGGGTAGTGATCAATGGCTCCATGTCTAGTTGGCAGCCGGTATCAAGTGGTGTGCCCCAAGGGTCGGTCCTGGGGCCGGTTTTGTTCAATATCTTCATAAATGATCTGGAGGATGGTGTGGATTGCACTCTCAGCAAATTTGCGGATGATACTAAACTGGGAGGAGTGGTAGATACGCTGGAGGGGAGGGATAGGATACAGAAGGACCTAGACAAATTGGAGGATTGGGCCAAAAGAAATCTGATGAGGTTCAATAAGGATAAGTGCAGGGTCCTGCACTTAGGACGGAAGAACCCAATGCACAGCTACAGACTAGGGACCGAATGTCTAGGCAGCAGTTCTGCGGAAAAGGACCTAGGGGTGACAGTGGACGAGAAGCTGGATATGAGTCAGCAGTGTGCCCTTGTTGCCAAGAAGGCCAATGGCATTTTGGGATGTATAAGTAGGGGCATAGCGAGCAGATCGAGGGACGTGATCGTTCCCCTCTATTCGACATTGGTGAGGCCTCATCTGGAGTACTGTGTCCAGTTTTGGGCCCCACACTTCAAGAAGGATGTGGATAAATTGGAGAGAGTCCAGCGAAGGGCAACAAAAATGATTAGGGGTCTGGAACATATGAGTTATGAGGAGAGGCTGAGGGAGCTGGGATTGTTTAGCCTGCAGAAGAGAAGAATGAGGGGGGATTTGATAGCTGTTTTCAACTACCTGAAAGGGGGTTCCAAAGAGGATGGCTCTAGACTGTTCTCAATGGTATCAGATGACAGAACGAGGAGTAATGGTCTCAAGTTACAGTGGGGGAGGTTTAGATTGGATATTAGGAAAAACTTTTTCACTAAGAGGGTAGTGAAACACTGGAATGCGTTACCTAGGGAGGTGGTAGAATCTCCTTCCTTAGAGGTTTTTAAGGTCAGGCTTGACAAAGCCCTGGCTGGGATGATTTAACTGGGAATTGGTCCTGCTTTGAGCAGGGGGTTGGACTAGATGACCTTCTGGGGTCCCTTCCAACCCTTATATTCTATGATTCTATGATTCTATGAAATATTTCCAGCCCAGACCTTTCAGGAAGGAAGGAATTCTTTACAGTGAGGAATAAGAGTCAACTCTGGAGGGTGGTACATGATAGCCCAGGAAAGCTCTGGTACCTTCTCCTAAAAGAAGAGAGAAAAAAAGAAGGATCAGGGATACAAAATATCACACCGCTGTCTCTCTTATGGAAAGTTGCTGTAGCATTTAGAATGAATGGTGACCTCTCTATAAAAAGTTGAATCCTACCTATACAGATCAATAGAAGGGATACAATTATCCAATTAAAATCTACTAGACAGTACAAAATTCCATAGGAAGGCTATAATTTTCTATTAAATTATGGTTTTAGAATATTTTCTATTGTTTCATCCCTGTTGAAATCCATAGGGCTATTCCATTAGATTCCTACAACTTTCCAAAAAAGGAAGGGGGAAAAATCCTGATTATTCATGCAAATTGTAACCTGGAATGCTAAATGAAAAGTTTCTAGAAAATAAATAACTAGAGTGAAAGATGACTTTTGGTTTTACATGAATGCATGTATAGTCAGACCAGATCTTTAAATTTGTTTGGAAAAACTGGATATTGGCAGAATCTCAGAGAAATCAAGAAATAGAACCACAATGACTTTGTTGTGATGGACCAAATGGGGAAAGACTGTGGCAACATAAGGAGAAACTGATGGAAGTGAGGGACTAATCTCTCTGTTCACTCTGAATAGAGATTTTATAACAGTTGACTTTGCATTTCTGGCTGAAGGCATTTGTACATGTGATAGACTGACTGTACTATTGAAATCAACTGTGTTGCCTTATGATATAAAACAAAAAAGACTGGAGTGTTCTCATTGTTTTATATTAATGGAAAGTTAAGTTTCAGGTCTGTTCTAGAAGAAAGTAGACGAAGCAGAATTAATTAGGAGAATATAGTAAGATAAAATGAGCATGCTCAGAGCCAGTTAAATACCATTTAAAAGCATGTAGTTGCTATGTCAGAGTCAGAGAAGGTGGTTAGGTAAGCCCAGGCACTGTTGCAAGTAGGTTGATCAAACACATTCCTCTATACAGAGAAAAAAAATCCATCTAGAACCAAAACTGAGCGCAGCTAGGTTCTCTACTTTCATATCCTGCCTCAAGACCTGCCTTTGCCACAATCCTGCTAAGCTAACTAAAGAGGGCTAGGCTGAGAGACAGACAGGATACTAAATAACTTAAAATATTTACTTATTATAAAGTGCACTCCACAACTGAATGCAGTAGGTCTTTGTCTGGGCAGCAAGAAGAAAGGGATTGTGGACCCCATAAGGGTTCCTGCTTCCTTGAGTTATGAGGGAAAGGCAAAAGAGGTGAGCAGAGTAATAGGGACCCAGAAGTCCAGCTCAGGTGTGGGCACTGACCTGTCAGGCATGCAGTCAGGGCAGGATATTTATACCCTCCAGATGTAATCCTCTTTGATCATGTGGGTAAAGGAAATGGCAAAACTTCCGCTAACTTCCATGGGGCCATGTCTTAAGTTATATTTGTGCAGCATTTAACACAACATCCCAGCTGAGGCCTTTGAGTGCTTCTGCAATATGGCCTCATCCAACTGCCAAGGAAGTCATTAGAAGTCATTCCATTGACTTTAATGGGAGCTGGATCAGGGCCTATACATATTTAATAAGAAGAAAATAACTTTCTTATTAAATAACCAGGGCCTAACCTTGTGATAATATTTAAAAAAAACACATTTTCTGGGGTTTATTAAAACTCTTGCATCCTAAGGGATGTGCAATAAACACAATTAGTTTGATAATTTATTGAAAATAAACTGAACCAAGTATTATAGTGAACAATTTGTATTGGCTTGGGATTGCCTGGATCACACAGATGTTTTCTACTTTTGTGATTTTTAGGGTTGTTGTGGAAACTGTGGGGTTGTGGGTTTTTTTTTTTTTTTTAAATCTAGGCATGATTTAAAGAGGCATGTCTTTTTGACAGTATAAAAACTAATCAGTCACAGCTTGAATTATTTATAAAAGCTTCTTAATCAGAGGTACAGTGAAGAGTGATTGTCCATGAAATTATTGTCTTTCTGAACTGGACAAGTTTTGTACTCTGACAGTTCATGGTAAAAGAAAATTACATTAGTATGTCACAATTAATTTGTCTGCAGTGTAACAGGAACTTCAGAATGGTCATCAGTGGTACAAAGTGACATCTGTTAAAATCTGCGCTAGCATGCTTCAAGAGTGTTCTAGCCTTAAGGCTAAGATTTGTCATCATTTCTCATGGAATTAATGATTCCCAGTTACTAAAAACTGGTATGATACTAATGTAAATTCCGATACCCTGGAAGGAAAGGTCGCACCAATCCTGTTTGCTGCATTCTGAAAGCAAAATCACACAAGTGGCAGACAAGAGTTGCCAGCTATCAGTAAATTACTTTTAAAAATGTGTATACTATAGACTAATAAAAATAGCATACTAATCTGGAAATTATTTTTGGCATAATATTCTGTATTTTCAGCAGAGAATAGAAAAAGAGTAACAGCAGAAATAATCTGCCAACTTCCTTCTCAGAGAAGCCGACTCATTGTGGAAAATGTTTCAGGAAAATAACTAAAGAAATGGTGGATGAATTTTGTAAATATTGATCCAGATTGCATTACCATGAATAGAAGTTGGGCAGAAGAAAAAATTCTGAGAAATATTGTTTCCAAAGTACATCAGGATCTTATTATTAATCATGCTGGTTTATTATTTTTTAAATAAGTAAATGAAACTTTGACAGTATTATTAGTATTTTTCCCATCTGGGCTGTGAACAGAAATAGCAACTTGTTAAGCAACACTTTAGCCTTCTCCTGTGGTCACTCTACTTCTTTCCTTTGTTTCAAACACATATTTAACTGTGAAATTAACTTTTTCAAATTTTAAAGAAAGGTAGTACAGGCTTTAAAAATTATATTAAATATGCCCAGTATTTAGAGATGAAAAGTACCTGTTAGATACTTGAATTCATCCCTCTGCTTGGCAGAATACATTTCTTTATGTAGCAATCCCACAAGGAATGTTCATGTATTAAATTGATACTACCCTGGGCACAAACACTAAGCGACCATTAGAAGTTATTCTGGAGACAGGAGGAGTCAATTATTGTAAGCAGTTGAGTCTCATCAGTAGCAGAAACAACATGCTAATATGGTATGTGCCCTCCAGATTTTCTTGACTACATCATGTCCTATCTGAAGAAACTCAATATCTGTCATAACTCAAAATCTTTTCAATCAATCCTCCCCAATTTGCTTGCCATTTATTCAGTCTGTCATCTCTTTCCCACTTCTTTCACTCTGCTGCACCATGGTATCAATTGTATCCTCATGTGCTTGAAACTGCCTTCATATTGGCTACTTGGGCCTCCAGGCAGAATGAAATGTTTCATAATTAATGTGGGATACTTCAATCATCCAGCCAAAGCACAGTGTAAATATTAGCAGCATTTGTGATCTGGTGGGGATGCGACAGGGATCACAGAGTTGGGGGTTATTGAAGAAGGGAGTGGGATGGAAGGAAAGAAGTCAGAATGGAAAGAAAACTTTTACAATTTTTTTTGTATGATAGCTCTGAACAGCATTAGCAAGGACAGCAGTTGGTGAGTGTAAGTAACTCGTGAGTATGGGCTATAGGGACACTTCTCTATGTCAAAATCCACATATAAGAATTTGCTGCTCAGGATACTCCCAGTTCAATCTCCAATATGTCAACCAAGAGAACAGCTATCACGGTAGCACTTGAAAGTATATACATGCCTCACTTGTAAGAACCATATAATGTGGCTCTTCCTGTTTCCTATTTGGTTATTGCTTGAAGAGACCATGAAGTGGATTGGCAAACTACAGCTTATTTGAATGTTTAAGAACTTTGGGAATCAGGAGAACTGAGTTACAGTCCTGACTGCCAGTTTGTCACTTTGAGCAAGTCTCTCTCAGGTCAGTGTCCTTTTCTGTTAAATGGAGCTAATGATGTTTTCCCACCTTTGTAAAGTGTTCATAGATCCTTGAGACAAGATTATTAATATTAATATTTATGCAATTTATTTTATCATTGTTAAAGCCTGACAAAGTGTTAGGTTACACTTTCACACCAGTTGGCAATATTGTTCATTACTCTCTTTTCCCGAACACATGTTTTGCCTGTCATTGTCAGAAGCATCTCTGCTAGCGCAGTGGGCAGGTCACTCCCAATGCTGTTATACACTGTTTGTATAATCAGTGATATCCCTATGCAGTTAGAAACATGGTGCAGAGGCAGTTGCCATGTGCAGATGCTGTCATTTGTGTCAGGAACACAGAAGAAGCCATATCTGACTGCTTTAGTATGGGTTTATTGTAGTACTTTATCCAGACAGAGTTATGCATGCTATATAGGTTTCATACTTCCAGTATATTAGACAACTTGTTTGTCAACTGTAATAAGTTTCATGGTGATGGAGGAGTAACAAGACAAAGTGCCAAACTATATGAAAATCAAAGTGCCATACCTTTCAAAGGGGGCCTGTACACCATGACTGCTCAAGGTCCTTTCATTAACTTAATCCAGCTGTCCTTAATCTGTAGAATTTGAACGCCAGAGTCTCTATTCAGGGTGAATGAACATGTCTGGGCTTTATTTCCATTAACACATGGAACTTCTTTTAAATAACAATAAGGTTGTGACAGATGCTTCCACACTCCTTTTTTAAAAAGACAACTATCAAGGTATTTTTCATAATTCTTAAAGCAGTTTTTTAATTTCTTCATTCCTTATAAAAGCCCGTTGGGTATTTGAAATTCTTTTTCTTTGGAAAAGAAAACTGCAGTGCAATAAAAGTGATTCTAACTCCTGCAAATGACTCGTGTATTTTTTAAAATATTTTAAATATAATCAAGAATAATTAACCACCAGACATGAAGATGCTGTCTGGACAATCTGATGACCTAGTTTTAGACACTGTTAATGCAACTCAGCATTTAAATACAAGTGGACAGCAGAAACTTTCTAAATTGTTGCAAGGTGAATTCTGTTATCTTTGTCAACTTGGAGTATTATATAATGTTTTAACAAGTCTGTGTATGTTGTATTTGTTAGCATGCTGGGACCATGGCTGCTCAGATCTTCACATTGACAGCAGGACTCTACATTCCTAGGATCCTGTGATTTTGGATCTATCCCTGAATTAATTGTGAGATCAGAGTGGTTGTGGTCTGTGGTATTGCGACAACCATCTTGTCCTAGGCAAACATTTGGTACAATATTATTTTATATATGCCCTTTGGGATATAAAATAGTATTGTTTTCAAAATCATGCACAGTAAAAACCCTCCATTTACCCACCACCGTCAGTGTGGTCTAGTGGGATTCCTTGGTAGCTATGATGTCAGTATATGATAGGGGTCAGTGTATGATCATACAGTCCTAGGGATTGCGTGGACGTACAGAGTGTATCCAGGCTGTTAGTCTGGATTTCAAGGGACATGTGCTGAATACAAGCAAGGTAAGTTAAATAATTTATGTGCAGAGTGTTCACATTACCCTTGCTATTTGGGACATTCAGTATATAAAACCACATTTAGTTGTTTAAAAATAAAGTGCAGGTCACCTTTGTTTCACTTGTAAGAAATGAGCTGATTTTTCTCATTTTGACATGGTTAGTATCAAGAAACAAAGACAGATATCTATATGGGTTTACTCATAGCCCCTAGAACAGACAGAATAATAATAATAATATAACATATGTCATATAAAATGAATACGGGGCTTCTAATTGCAGCTCTATATCAAAAGGACAAAAAATCCGATGACTTGTTCTCCTTGGAATAATGTCTCTAAGTACTTCTTGTGCTCTCTACATCTGTTACATGACAGGTTGTTAATGATGTGTGTGTTCATTTGATGTAAAGCACCTCCTGTGTGTTGTACTTTTCAAATCTGCCTTCTGAAATCCCTACTGATGTGGTATATTTCTCCAGACTGGGTCCACTCAAGGTCCAAATACTGATTAGTTGCTGTATTTCTCTGAATCAGCTTTCTGCCATTGGAGACCTTTATCCATTTCTCCGGGAGTCATGTAAGAATTTTCTTTCTACTATTTGATCCCTTGTGTTATCTATGCCAGTGATGGTCAGACCTGATATAGGTTATTAAATGTTGCCAAATGCCACTTTTCTTAGTCAGGGATATCAGTCTACTAGAGTTGCCCTACCAAAATGGTCCTTACGCACGTGAAATATTTAAGTATACATTTGTATTTGTAGCTCAGCTCAATCTCTGTCCATTTTTATAGGAGCCTGATTCAACTGCAATGGGATGAATTTGCATCTTCTTTGAAAACTAATTGTATGTAAAATCCTAGTGTGCTATCTACACTTGTGCTTCAACTCTGTCATCCTTTACAATCTAGCTTCAGCCCTTTCTAATTCATTGAAATAGCACTCTCCAGAGCCATAGGTGATCTATTCTTAGCTAAAATCAAGGGAGCGCTTCAATTATTTAATTCTTTTTGATTTGCCTGCTGCCTTTGACCATCATGATCATGATTATTTCTACCTCGTGGCTGGACTCTATTAGTTTTCCTTATGACTTGCTGTCCACTTCTTCAAAGTCTGCCATGGCAGTTGCTTATTATCTCCTCTCCCACTATCCTGCAACTACCCAGTGATTCTGCAATTATTGTTTCATAAATTTAACTTCTGTCCCTAGTAAAACAGTGGAACAAATATTGAGAGGAAAAAAGTAGCTAAACATCTCTAGGATAGTGAGTAATAAGCAACACTGGTTTGCAAAGAATGTGTTTTGCTAGAAAATGAAGGATTTTGACAGAATTACAAAATGTAGATGTCATATAACTGAATTTGAATAAACCATAGAATAAAAGATATCATGAAATCATACTTGAAACATTAATTCAGATCAATAGGAATAGCCTGCTATAGGCTGAAAACTGGCTGAAAGATTGTAAACTAATGGTAATAATGACAAACAGCAATGTATCAAGATGGGGGAAGGTATCTAGGTATCTGTGTTATTTCAGGCATAGTTAAAAACTTCATCAAGAGTTCACAGAAGAACTACAGGGATTGATTTTATGATGCAAGTTTACAAGAGCAAGATAAATTTGCTTGACTAAGCAAAAACAAAGGGGTATATAATAACTGCTGCTAGTAAAGACCAATGGTGAAATCTTGACATTTTGTCATTGACTTCATTTGGGCCGGGATTTCACCCAAGGAGAGAGAAGAGGTTTTTGCAGTAGTATAAGGGATTTAACTAAGACAAGTAAAAGGGAACATTTAGGCTAAATATTAAGAAAAGTTCCAGTTGGGTTATACAATAGCCTCCCTAGGGAAATAGTCATAAACCTGTCACCTGAAACATTAAAATGTAGCCTGGACAGAACACTAGAAAATGTATGTTTTGGGACGGTCCTGCACTGGGAGATCAGGAGGCTGATTAGAGATCTAATAGGTTTAGTCCTTCTCTAACAGCAGTGATTCAATAGGATCTCTGTGTCCAAATGTCAGGCTTTTGGTGTGTCACAGGCCCTTGAAAATCCAGCCACTCCAGCATGTTTATTATTGTGTTACAAGTTGTACCATCTATAGTATACAACAAGAAACAAGTGATACATTTCTACTTGCTTAAGTAAAAGGACAAATAAACTTCTCACTCTCATAAGAAATTAATGACTACCACCAGGTTGCTTCAAAGGAATCGCTGAAATGTTGTTTGGCCTGTTGTGGTACTGTCACTGTTCATGAAATGTCATAGACTAAAGCAGGCAGTGAGCAAGGCTTATCCGAGAGTTGGCTACAAACTGTTGTTTGGCCTGCTGAACTGGAAGCCTAGGTTTCCCTGATAATCCTGCTGGCTCTCTTGCCTCCTTTATGTCTCACAATAAAGAGTAATGCAGAGGAGGAAATTACATGCTTTGGCTGCCTGTTGGTCCTTAGGAGGAGGTCACAAGGGACAATCTATCTAAGTGGAGCAAACTGGAGAGACAGGTAGGAGACTGGATCTTTGGATGGGAGAGGACAAGTGGAAATTGGTGGTGGTGGAGGAGACAGAAAGGACCAGGTGGTGGACAAGACAGACAATGGAACTGGAGAAAGCTAGATGGGAAAGAGGGCAGGACTGAGAAAGGAAAAAAGAAAACAATGTTGGTTAAAATAAGGGAAGAATGGCCTTGTTGCTAATGCATGGCTCAGGAGTTGGGAGACCTGCATTCTGTTCTCAGCCAACAGATTTGCTATGTAACTTTAGGCAATGGAGAAGGTAGTTAAGGACATTGAAGTCAATGGTAAATGGGACAAAATACAGCATGGTTTTACAAAAGGTAGATCATGCCAAACCAACCTGATCTCCTTCTTTGAGAAAGTAACAGATTTTTTAGACAAAGGAAATGCAGTGGATCTAATTTACCTAGATTTTAGTAAGGTGTTTGATACCATGCCACATGGGGAATTATTAGTTAAATTGGATAAGATGGGGATCAATAGGAAAATTGAAAGGTGGATAAGGAATTGGTTAAAGGGGAGACTACAACGGGTCCTACTGAAAGGTGAACTGTCAGGCTGGAGGGAGGTTACCAGTGGAGTTCCTCAAGGATCAGTTTTGGGACCAATCTTATTTAATCTTTTTATTACTGACCTTGGCACAAAAAGTGGGAGTGTGCTAATAAAGTTTGCAGATGATACAAAGCTGGGAGGTATTGCCAATTTAGAGAAGGACAGGGATATCCTACAGGAGAATCTGGATGACCTTATAAACTGGAGTAATAGTAATAGGATGAAATTTAATAGTGAGAAGTGTAAGGTCATGCATTTCGGGATTAATAACAAGAATTTTAGTTATAAGCTAGGGACACAACAATTAGAAGTAACGGAGGAGGAAAAGGACCTTGGAGTATTGGTTGATCATAGGATGACTATGAGCCGCCAATGTGATATGGCCGTGAAAAAAGCTAATGCGGTCTTGGGATGCATCAGGAAAGGTATTTCCAGTAGGGATAAGGAAGTTTTAGTACCATTATACAAGGCACTGGTGAGACCTCACCTGGAATACTGTGTGCAGTTATGGTCTCCCATGTTTAAGAAGGATGAATTCAAACTGGAACAGGTACAGAGAAGGGCTACTAGGATGATCTGAGGAATGGAAAACTTGTCTTATGAAAGGAGACTCAAGGAGCTTGGCTTGTTAGGCTAACTAAAAGAAGGTTGAGGGGAGATATGATTGCTCTCTATAAATATATCAAAGGGATAAATACCGGAGAGGGAGGGGAATTATTTAAGCTCAGTACCAAAGTGGACACAAGAACAAATGGATATAAACTGGCCACCAGGAAATTTAGACTAGAAATTAGACGAAGGTTTCTAACCATCAGAGGAGTGAAGTTTTGGAATAGCCTTCCAAGGGAAGCAGTGGGGGCAAAAGATCTATCTGGCTTTAAGATTAACTTCGATAAGTTTATGGAGGAGATGGTATGATGGGATAACATAGTTTTGGTAATTAAATATTCATGGTAAATAGGCCCAATGGCCTGTGATGGGATATTAGATGGGGTGGGATCCGAGTTACCCAGGAAAGAATTTTCTGTAGTATCTGGCTGGTGAATCTTGCCCATATGCTCAGGGTTTTGCTGATCACCATATTGGGGTTGGGAAGGAATTTTCCTCCAGGGCAGATTGGAAGAGGCCCTGGAGATTTTTCGCCTTCCTCTGTAGCATGGTGCATGGGTCACTTGCTGGAGAATTCTCTGCTCCTTGAAGTCTTTAAACTATGATTTGAGGACTTCAATAGCACAGATATAGGTGTGAGGTTTTTTGCAGGAGTGGTGGGTGAAATTCTGTGGCCTGCGTTGTGCAGGAGGTCAGACTAGATGATCATAATGGTCCCTTCTGACCTAAATATCTATGAATCTATGAAAGTCACATAATCTTTTTCTGCATTGATTTCCATATGAAAATAGGGATTTTAAATTTTACCTGTCTCACAAGTAAGTGAAAGTCCCTTAGTACTTTGGGAGGAAGGTGTTTGTGATGCTTCTTGGGACACCTAGGGCTGGGGGTCACCTTGTTACTACATGAGGGAGACTTGCATGTGCTTAACTGGGTGTTAGCTCGTGAGCACAACTAGCCTGTCAGACACTCAAGAACTCTTCTTTGGGACTGTTTTTGCTGTGCAGATTGACAATAGTGGCACCTCTGCCCATGAGTTTTTTCAAAGAATTCCCCTGTGGTATCCAGCCCCTGATCACTCCCTACACAGAGAAATTCCAGATCCTCTGTTCTCAAAGGAAAAGAGTATCACAGTTTACCAGCTCTACCTTAGATCACCACTCCTCTGTTACACACAGCACTTGAGTTCAATTACAAACAAAAGGAAATGTATTTAAGAAAGAATAAAAATATTCAAATAAAAAGCAGTGTAAGAGATGGGAACAAATGATTACATCTAAAACAAAATCATAACATGCATTCTAGAGCCTAAACATAACTAACATATAATCCTCTTGCCCAAATAAGTTTATCGCATCCAAAGTTCTTTCCAGCATTTTCAACCAAGCCCGGCTGAAATTTCTTTTTCATGAAGCCAATGTGCTATCAGTTTACTTCCTAGGGGAAGGCTGAAGGTGTACTTCTGTACCCCTTATTATACCCCCCCAAATTTCATTGTCCTTACATGTAAACAGGGCATTTCCCTGCTGGGTCACTTCTTCCTGTAAATTTTCTCTCTTTGAAGATTTCACAATCCTTTTTTAACATTTGGCTCAGACTGTACATGGATGCCCATTGTGAACCATTTACATATAAACAGACAAATGGATAATTATTTCTTGCATGAAAGAAAACCTGCTTTTCACCTTTCTGATGACCAGTCTCTGATCACAGACCTTAAGAACATATTTTTCAATGTATACATGTAACTCTTTACACAATGTCTGTACATACATTTTGAAATCATTATGATGACCAGTGTGAGACAGGCTTTCATTAGAGACCTTACATGACATCCTTTGGGTGAACCCAGGGGATCCCTATACTCCTTTGCCCTCTGCTAGTTGGCATCCAGAGAATCTTTGGTCACAGTGCTATGTAACTCCAAAGTATTATAACTAACTAATTAATGATTATTAGATAGGGGAGAAATACTGAACTAGAGGGTGCTTGCTCTCGCGATTCAATCCTGCATAAAATATCACTTAAGAAGCTGCATATGTACCTAGTTAAATAGATATATAACATGCACAGATGACAAGGTCTAGGTAAGTCCTACACCACTGAAGTCAATGGGAGTATTGCAGGATTGGACCCTGCATCTTCAGAGATCCGCTTTAGGAAGAAAGAGAATATATTTAATATTAGTCCAATGGACTGTTCTGTAGGCTAAGAAAAGGGTTGAAAAGAGTTTCCACATAAAAATCAAATACTTCTGTAAAATGAGTAGCAAGAAAATAAAAGTTAAAGTGAGGCAAAGCAAAACCTCCTTTTTCTTTTCTTTGCTGAAGCCAAATAATACCATCTTGTGAATAACTATTATTCCATGCAAATATTTGTGAGAATTTAAAAAAAAAAGAAAAGTGGTATCATTATAGGCAAAACCTGTAATAAATAACTGGATCTTGCTAGAACATTCATTTCAATAACATTTGTTCTGTCTCCCCATGAAAGGCATAATGATTTCCAATGAGCTAATTCTTCTGAAACTTTCTTCAGAGGTGGACTATAATTCAGAGAGAGGTTTCAGAGTAACAGCCTTGTTAATCTGTAAATCTGCATGGTTTTTTGATATTTTAACCCCTATGTAACTAAGTGTACTAGATGTCTGCTTGAAATCAAAGCTAGCTCTAAGAGAATTCCAGGGAGAGCATAGGGAACAGTGCTTCTGCTTTTTCAAACTTGGTTTTGAACCCAGAAATTCCTTACACATTTTGAAAATATTATTGAATTAGAAACAATTAATACATATTGTCATCATATTGTGCAACCAATTCTTAAACTTATGACAGCCTTACTCGCTGTACTAAATTGTGTTAAAGGTTCCATTCATATAGTATATTGCTCAGTGCTAAAGAGCAACTAGTTTACCTCAAAAAAAAAAAAAAAAGATTCCAGGATGTTAAACTAATATTGGCTTTGGGAGATGCATTCCTAGCTTCAATATATTTCACATAATTATGGCCAAAGACCATTCTTTAAGCATGGACAAACAAAAATAACCACTCCACTTCTTCAGATGCTTTTTCTTAATCAAGAAACCAAAAAAGTAAGGAGGACTCGTTTAACCCAGCAGGAGGGAGAATATTAACATACTTGAGTAAATTATCAGCCATTACATTTTTTTTCTTAATAAGATTTATTTAGACCATATAATTAATTTTTTATGTCTGATACCAAGCATATAAGCAGGTATATATGAATTTAGGAGAACCCACAAAGTTCCTCATATATATATTTTTTGAGAATAAGCAAGATTGTTTCATTCATATATCAGGCAATTTCCAATTGACTAATTAAAGATTTTAGTCAAGAAGAGCTTTAACTGAGGTAAATAATTTTATAGCATTATGTTACTTATGAAGATTGTTTTGATTATCCAGGATCAGAGAATGATAGGAGAGAGTTGCAGAATTTTTTAAATATTCATGTCACTTAAGCAAATTTGAAATATACAACTCTGATAAAAAGAGGAGTGAAGCAGTAGACATGATTAAGGCTACAATTTAGTTGCGGAGGTCGTGGAAGTCATGGAATCCATGACTTCCAGCAATCTCTGTGACTTCAGCTTGTGGTGGTCGGGAGCTGCAGGGTCCTCCGCTGTCTGCAGGGGCAGGGAGCTGCCAGGTACTCTAGCCTCTGGCGGCTCCCAGAGCTCCAAGCTGCCATGGGCAGTGGGGCACCTCGCAGCTCCTGGGCAGCAGGGTACCCTTGAGCTCCCAGCTGCCATGGGCAGTGGGGGCCTCCCAGAGCTGCCAATGGCAGGGGAATCACCACAGCTTCCGGCTGCCGCGGGTGGTGGGGAACCCCTAAGCTTGTGGGCGGTGGTGGCAGGGGAACCCCCAGGCTCCCAGCTGCTGCAGGCCCCCAAAACTATGGGTGGCAGGGGTATCCTGCAGCTCCCGGACCCTGCGGGCCTCAGGGGAACCCCCGAGCTCCTGGCCACCACGGGCCCCTGGAGCTGCAGGTGGCGGGGGTACCCACATCCTTCAGCTGCTGTAGGTGGCTCCTAGCAGCCACCCAGCTGCCCCACTTTAGGCAGTGTGGGGACCTGAAGATCCAGATCCCCATTTTGTCACGGATAGTTTTAGTAAAAGTCTGGGACAGGTCATGGCTTCTGTGAATTTTTCTTTTTTGCCTGTGACCTGTCCATGACTTTTACAAGAAATATCCATGACAAAGTCTTAGCCTTAGACATGATTTATCTTTGTTTTAGCAAAGCTTTTGACTCAGTCCCATTTGACATTCTCATAAGCAAACTAACAAAATGTGCTCCCGATGAAATTATTATAAAATAGATGCATAACTGGTTGAAAAACCATACTCAAAATATAGTTACAAATGGTTTATTGTCAAACTGGGATGATGTATTTAGTGAGGGTTCTTCAGGAGTCTATCCTGAGTCCATTACTATTCAATATTTTCATTAACAACTTGGATAGTGGAGTGGAGAGTATGTTTATATAATTTGCAGATGATGCTAAACTGAGATGGTCAGGATTAGAATTTAGAATGACCTTGACAAATTGGCAAAGAGGTCTGAAATCAACAAGATGAAATTCAATAAAGACATATGCAAAGTACTACACTTAGGAAGGAAAAATCAAATTCAGAACTACAAAATGGGGTGTAACTGACTAGGCACAAATACTGCAGAAAAGGATCTGGGATTATAGTGGATCACAAACTGAATATGTGCCAACAATGTGATGCAGTTGTAGAAAAGGCTAATATCATTCTGACGTGTATAAGCAGGAGTGTTGTATGCAAGACATAGGAAGTAATTGTCCCGCTCTACTTGGCATTAGTGATGCTTCAAATGTGTCCAAATTCAGGCATCACTCTTTAAGAAAGATGTGGACAAATTGGAGAGCGTACAGAGGACAGCAAAAAAATGATGAAAGATTTAGAAAATCTGACGTATAAGGAAGGATTTTAAACAGAGTATGTTTAGTTTTGAGAAAAGCAGACTGAGGGGGAACCTGATACTTGTTTTAAAATATTTTAAGGGCTGTTACAAAGAGGATGGTGCTCAATTGTTCTCCATGTTCACTGAACGTAGGACAAGAAATAATCAGCTTAATATACAGCAAGAGAGATTTAGGTTAGATAGTAAGAAAATCTTTCTCACTATAAGTATCATTAAGTACTAGAATAGCCTACCAAAGGAGGTCTTGGAATCCCCATAATTGAAGGTTTAGAGGAGCAGGTTAGACAAATGCCTGTCAGGGATGGTCTAGGTATACTTGGTTCTGCCTCAGCATGGGGAAATGGCCTTGATTACCTCTGGAGGTCCCTTCCAGCCCTACATTTCCATGGTTCTATGAAAATTGATTCTATAAAAAACTATTCTATTGACTTTATACTCTCTGGCTTGTTTTACATTCTGACAAACAAGGCGCTTGTCAACCTTTTTTCTCTTTTAGCATCTTTCTTTAATTCAGTTTACCCTCTCCCTTCAGCCCCCACCCAGTTTGATCACCATAGGAAGACCATTACATTTTCTTCTGGCTGTAGCTAACTTTTTGAATAAGCAGTTAGATGCAGTCCTTTTTGTGAATATTTTTTCCAATGTGTTTGTTTAAATATAAGATTTTGTTCTTTGCAATTCACATCTTTTCAACATAGCTGTCCATTTAATTTCATATAGATTTCTAGTGTGTCATCTCATGACAAGTAGTATTCAGTTTCTTTTGCAATATTATTGGATCATAGGGCTGTTGTACTGCATTTAGTGTTATATTTTCATCTTGTTTGTTGAAACAAGCCAGAAAAAGATCATCATTACAGTATTAGACTGTATAACTTAAGTTGGAAGAGATTCTTATCTCAGGAAAATTTTTCGACGGCTATATAATAAAATAATCTGGCATTACCAAATAAATCTTTCTATACATCCACTAAAACAAGATGTCCCGTTACTTTGTTTACATTAAAGTAATCAATTAAATTTTATTGTAGATACTGACATTATGTATATTTCGTCCTCTATGGCCATACTTTTCAATATCTAAAATTAGAGCACATTAAAGGGTACTGTGAGTGCTTAGCACCACGGAAAATCATACCACTAACTGAGGTGCCCAAATATGGAACTTAAGGTATTTCCTTTGAAAATTTTGGCCATGTTGCTTTTGGCAGAACTTAAAAAAAACACAACAACCAAATTGCCCTTGTACAAAACAGCAAATCCAGCAACACATGTTCACCAACATTAACCAGCCAAAAGAATAAATTTAACAAAGAAATAATTCACCCTCTCCAACAATACCATCTCCTCCGTGTGCTGATTTCGAGAATCTGTCTATGTATGATTAAGCATTCTGTTTGATGTTGGGGGCTCTTGATATGTATTTATGTCAGACTGCAGACTCCACTCTGAATGTGGGGTTTGCTGTCTTCTCTGTTGTTCCCTTACTTTCATGCTGCTCTGCAATTCCGAGGGGTAGTGGCATCGGACTAACAATAGTGGGTGATTAAATCTGGATGGTCCTCTATTGAAAGAGAAATACCCTGTAAAAATGGCTCTCTTTTCCCAGGGGAGAGGTTGCCTGGCAATTAAGTCACATGGGTCTGCTCATCCTTTTGAGGCTGATTGGGAGGTCATATGACAGGAGACTGGGAGGTTATAATTTAAGGGCAGAAACTGCTCTCCTCAGAGTCTTTGGCTATTTTCATCAGTTCAAGCCAATGGAAGCTGTTGCAGGAGCCTGATGTTGGGGGAACCCTGCCTACCTGAACACAGAGAGACCTTAAGAACTCCCAAGGGAAAGGTCAGCTGCATTCTGGATTATTTGTTGTTTTCTAAATATCTGTGTTTGCTTGTGCCTTATCTCCTATGTACACAGTAATAGTGTTAGAAACCTTTTGCTAAGCCTGTGTCCTACCATGTGTCTCTGAAGAGGTAAACTGTAAACCAAAAGGCCCAGTCCTTCAGTGGGATACTGGGGAATGTGCAACAGCTGATGGAGAGGTTTACACTAATTTCAGGACGTAGGGAATTGGGCCATGGTGCCCATATTTCCAAAAGGGGTATGAGACACAGCATCTGGAGTGCATGCCGACAGACAAGGGATTGGCAATGTTTGGCATGTGGCCCATCAGGGAAATCTGCTGGTGGGCCAGGCAGGTTTGTTTAACTGCAGTGTCCACAGGTTCAGGCAATCACAGCTCCCACTGGCTGTGGTTTGCTGTTCCAGGCCAATGGGGGCTGTGGGAAGCAGTGTGGGCCGAGGGATGTACTGGCCGCCACTTTCTGCCACCCCCATTAGCCTGGAATGGCAAACTATGGCCAGTGGGAGCTGTGATTGGCCAAACCTGTGGACCCTGCAGGTAAACAAACAGTCCCGGCCCTCCAGCAGATTTCCCTGATGGGCCGTGTGCCAAAGGTTGCCGATCCCTGCTATAGACCCAAAGACCTACAGACCTAAAATCTGCCCAGCCCCCATAAGCTAAGGGCTTATGGGATTCATTGTTTGATTCACCTCACAGCAGTCTGGCAAGTGTTCAGCATGGGGAACTTGGCTTCCTCACATTCTGAGCAAAGAAAGCATTATTACTACAACCTGAATATCAGCAGATTTAGGTTATTTAGGACCAAGGTTGAGAATGAGTTCCAAAGTTTGGGGGATCTCATACAAAACACACTGTCAGGAGTGCCCTTCCTTTTACACCAAAGAATTTACAGCTTAAGCTCCTTTTTTGATTTCAGCTATGGCAGAATTATGCAGGGAGAACGATGCAATTCTTGTAGGCCACACCTCAGCCATTTAGAATGGCATTTAAAAAATGCCTACATAACATAGGAGCACAAATCCCATTGCCTTTCAATGGAACTTATGCTTCTAAGTCACTTCTGAAAATCCCACCTGATCAAAATTGGCACATTAAATTCCATTCAGAATCAAAAGGTAGCTAATGCAGATCATGAAGTGCAGGTGTGATGTGCTAGCTGATCTGGAATAAGTAATGTACAGTGTAGTATGTTAATGTTTTATTGTCATTTGGCCTTCATAAAAAGATTTTTTAAAAATAAAATCATAACATAACAAGTGAGCTGATGCACGAGAATTCATTTTTTACTGGATTTAAAGTATCACCACATGTAAAATTCCACTGCAGTCATCTAAAGTGGAGCTGACAGAGGGATGGATCATGGTAGCTGATTGGTCCTGTTTCATTAATATTTATTGGCTTAGTTTCCCCCTCCCTCTCACCTTGTGTAGTCTTTTACACTTGTGCAAAGTGAGTGAAAATGGGAGTTAACTCATGCCAAATTGGAATGGTAGCGTTTTTCACACACTTGGCACTCAGTTTGGAGAGGTGTAAATTACTTCACAAAATGAAAGGCAGTGGAGACTTAGGGCCTATGTCTTTAAACTAAAACTTGCATTCAGGAGGAAGAATAGGGTGAGGAGTGTCTGGCTGCAATAGGATTTCAGTGGGAGTACTGTGGAGGCAGACGCTGGTACAGAAGTCTTTCCCTAATAAAACAAGTATAAAAGCAGGTGAGGCTAATGTTAGCAGTGGGTGTGTAGGCATAACTGAGGGCAGAATTATAAATGTTCATTTCTTCCAAATGTTTACAGTCATGCTGTTTCCACTTCAAACTGGAAGAAGAAAATTCTTATCTCAAGGTTCTTTTTTATTCATCTACTTTGCCAGTTACTCCAAATTCCTCTTCAGAGCATCTCTTTTCTTTCTTCAAACAATTCTTACTGAAGATACCACTTTTCAGATAATTTCTTCTACCAGATGGCTCAGTCTTTTTTTGCCTCCATCTGGGACGTTTTAACCCTCCTTTTATATGTTTGCACAATTCAGAGAGAAATTTATCAGTTAACAAAATAGCTATCAATCATTATTAGAAGATCTTATTTCTTGTGGTTTGAAAAATAATCTCTTCAATATTTGCCATGCTGAGCTAACATGCCTGGACTTACATGTCTGCATGCCAATTGATTTCAGTGGAATTAAACCAGGAATGAATTAGAGCTATTGCGTCCAATATTAACAGGGCTATTTTAGTTTAAACTATAGGCGAGTGAACTGAATAAAGTGTTTCGTTTTTTTTAAATTTAGCTTTTATTGAATCTGCAGCCAGGATTTATAGGCCCAGTGACATGCCATATACAGTTTTGAAGTGCCTAGTACATTTTGGATGCTATAAAATAAATAATAACAATAAAAATAAGGTGTTTGTTGGATGCAAAAATCTCATGTGACATCCAAACAGACTTATGTGTAGCACTAGGAAGGAGCTGATAGTCATGGTACATGTACGTAGGAAGAAAGGGAAGGTAGGAGAAAAATCCTAGAGGCCAAATTTAGGCAGCTAGGTAAGAGACTAAAGGCCAGGATCTCGATGATAGCATTCTCTGAAATGCTTCTAGGTTTTTTGTGCAGGGCCAGAAATATAGGCAGAACTGCAGGGTCTCAATGCATGAATGAGATGATGGTGGAGTGAGGAGTGTTTTAGGTTTATTAGGAACTGGAGAACCTTTTAAGAAAGGAGGAGCCTTCATGAAGATTGGGCTCCATCTAAACTAAAATGGAACCAGACCGCAGGCATCTAAAACTGAAAGGGTGGAGGATTTTTTAAACTAAGGGTTGGGGGAAAACAGACATGTGTAGAGGAGCACATGGTTCAGGAGGATGCGACAGATTTCTGTTACCAATCTGCCGCTGCGTCAGTTGATCAGGCTGATGCCACAGGATCTTTGGTGGGGAGATGATGTAATAAGTGTCCAAGTTTTAAAGCTTTATTGATAAAATAATAAAATAACAGCAGAGAGTGTTTCCACGTCACTCAGGGAAAGAAAGAAAGCGTAAACGCCCCAAGCCCTAACCCACTTTCATACTCACACATGCACTACCAAAGACTGGCCAGGCCTGGGTGTAAGGTCAGAAGAAGGGGGGGAGGGGAAGGATGGATGAGAGTGCTGTCCTGGGCCCAGGCTGTCCAAATCTGCTGTTGCTCTCCAAATTGCTCCAGCTCTCAGGAGGGTTTTAAGTCCTGCTCCCCACGGGGCGGGGGTGCTCCATTTGGGGACCTCTGCTCCTGGTGCCCTTCGTGCCAGAGACTTTGTTTTCCCTTCTATTGACCTTCGCTGTTGCCGTCTCATTTGCTCTCAGTGTTCTCGCTGCTATCTCTGCAGCTCTGCTCAACTTAGTTCTCCTCTTCTCACGGCTGGGCAGCTGCTGATTTCTCGTCGAGCCTATGACCTTGGCCTGGGGCCAGCATCTTATCTTCACATGGAGGTAGCTGAAGTGTTGAGTTAACCCATTCTCTGCTCTTTTTCCTCTCCCCGCCCCAGCCTCTCGTGATCTGCAAAGGAAACTTCCACTCCCTACTCTCACACCTTTGACCCTTCCCCAAAATGCTTTGTGATGCTTGCAACAGTGTTAGCCATATACAGTGCTGATCTGCCTTCCCAGGGGAACTCCTGAAGCTGTGACAAGGAGATATCACTTTATTAAAGGAGGAATTCTGTATCCTAATAAAGATGATAGAAAAGAAGTTGGTAAAGTAAAGGTAGAAGCTAGTGAGGAACAGTCAAACATAAAAAAGTCCCATTTAAATATAATATATGAAGGTAAGCAACTGAATATTGACAAAATGTACAAATGCTAGAAGTCAAAATACTAAGATGAGTGAATTCAAGTGCCTAGAGAATATTAATATAATATATATGTTGCAGAAACTTGGTGGAATGAGGCTAATAAATGGGACATGGTAATACCAGGATACAAAATATATAGGAATGACAGAGTAAGTTGTGCTGGTGGGGGAGTGGCACTATGTGTGAAAGAAAGAATGGAATAAAATAAAGTAAAAATCTGAAATGAATCAAACTGTACCATGAAACCTCGATGGATAGAAATTCCATGCTTTAACAGTAACAGTATACCAGTTGGAATATACTACCAATCACCCGACCAGGATGATGACAGTGATTGTGAAATGCTTGGGGAGATTAGAGAGGCTAGAAAGGCAGCAAATGCAATGATGGGGGATTTCAACTATCCTTATATTGACTGGATGTATGACACCTGAGAAAGAAATGCAAAGATGAAATTTCTAGATGTCATGACTGCTTCTTACATCAGCTAGTCCTAGAACAACAGAAGAGAAGCAGTTCTTGATTTAGTCTAAGTGGAGCAGAGGATCTGGTCCAAGAGGTGAGCATAGCTGAACTGCTCAGTAATAGTGACCATAATGTAATTAAATGTAACATCCTTGATGGGGAAAAATGCCAAAGAAATCCACCACAGTAGCATTTACCTTCAAAAGAGGATTACAGAAAAATGAGAAAGCTAGTTAAATGGAAATTAAAAGGAACAGTCACAAGGGTGAAATGCCTACAAATGGCCTGGAGACTATTTAAAAACACCATAATAGATGCTCAAACTAAATGTATACCCAACATTTTAAAAAAATTAAGAGTACCAAAAAATGCCACCATAAGAAACAGCAAAGTTGTAGGTTCCAGGAAAAGCTGCTTCAAGAAGCAATCATCTATAGTATCTAGAAATTTTATCTCTGCATCCCTTCCTGAGGTGACATATACCCAGTCTATATCAGGATAATTGAAATCCCCCATTATTATTGTATTTTCTGCCTTTGTAGCCTATCTAATCGATTTGAGCATTTCACATTCACAGTTACCATCCTGGTCAGATGTCTGGTAGTATATTTCTACTGCTGTACTCTTATTGATCATATATGGAAATTCCATTCATAGAGATTCTGTGGCACAGTTTGAGTCTGTGACCAGAGTCCCAGAGGGAACACGCTGAGATTGCTCAATTAGGGCAAACTGCAAAGAATGGGGCAGACAATAACTGGTGCTTATTCTAATACTTAGAGTCACCTAGCCAGCAACAAAACAGCTTCTACAATACCTTACTGGTTACCCAGAAGCCAGAAATACAATTCCCTTAAAGCAACCAAGCCTTGGGCTTCCACCCAGACAGCCAAGTTAAATATGATGAGGATTATATTCGATGAAGTGAGCTGTAGCTCATGAAAGCTTATGCTCAAATAAATTTGTTAGTCTCTAACGTCCCACAAGTCCTCCTTTTCTTTTTACTAAAAATCTTGTTAATCATATAAAACATTTTACCAAGCCCAAAGGATCGGACACATTACCCATCAGCTTAACAAATATTTTAGATCTTACTCAAATATACACTTACTGCCAATTCTTATTAACTAAACTAAAATTTATTTAAAAAATAAAAAAGAGGTAGTATTAGTTAAAAGATCATTATACATGAAAATATAAATAAAGTTCTTAGGTCAGTTTCATAGTAGAGGTGGTGAACTTTAAAGTTGAAAAGAGTCCTTTCCAGAATCAGTTCATTAAGTTATAGTCCAATGGCCAATATCAGGGTGATCCAGAATGGAGCTGAAGATCTCAGACATGCGATTCAAACTTCCTCTGATGAAGCTTAAGCAGATATGAGATGAAAGTATCAGGGCCCTACAGTTCTTTTCATAGTTGTTTAGCAGCTTCTTGACAGTGTGCAGTCTTTGGGTGAACAGTAGGCAATTATCCTAGCTTTGAAGTAGAACTCCTGTGTCCTAAGCATCACCGGTAATTAGCTACATGGATTAACATAAGGCAGCTGCCCATCTTCAGCTATTTACAGGTAGTTTACTGCAAACTTCAAAGAGAAATAAGAACAATGATATTACTACATTCACAGTTCATCTAAATTTTAACATCTCCTTTTGATCTCTGAATTAACAGAATACAGTGATAAACAGGAACCATTTGGCTATATTGTCAACCTCTAACAATGTATATGTAAACCCACAAAACCCGCAACCATTATCTTCTAATATGTCTCTAAAGGTTGAATCTGGGTCAGTTAGTCTGCTAGTTGTGTAACCCTTTCTGGCCGTGTAACATAGTGATTTAACATATTTACTTTATTTGAATCTATTCTGATGATAACTCTCTTTCTATTCCGCTGGTATCTCTGGAGGATGTTAAACAGAAGCTACTAAAGTCTGGCATTTTTAACTTAGAATATCCAAATAACCTGCACCCAAGAGTTTTAAAAGAAGTGGCTGAGGAGCTAACTGGACCATTAATGTTGATTTTCAATACATCTTGGAGCACGGGGGAAGTTCCAGAAGACTGGAAGAAAGCTATTGTTCTGATGATTTTCAAAAAGGATAAACGGGATGACCTGGGCCTGCCGGCCTACATCGATATGGGCAAGATAATGGAGTAGCTTATACAGGCCTTGATTAATGAAGTATTAAAGGAGGGCAATGTAATTAATGCAAATCAAGATGGGTTTATGGAAAATGGATCCTGTCAAACTAAGTTGATATCTTTTTGTGATGAGATTACAAGTTTGTTTGATAAATGTAATTGACTCGAACTTCTGTAAGGTGTTTAATTTGGTGCTGCACCACAGTTTGATTACAAAATTAGACTGATATAAATTGAACATAGCACACATTAAATGGATTAAAAACTGGCTAACTGATAGGTCTCACTATGTAACTGTAAATGGGGAGTTGTCATTAAGCAGGTGTGTTCTAATGGGGTCCCGCAGGGATTGGTTCTTTAATGCTTTAATCAATGACCTAGAAGAAAATATAAAATCATCACTGATAAATTTTGCAGATAACATAAAAATCGGCGAAGTGGTAAATAATGAAGAGGACCTGTCACTGATTCAGGGTAATCTGGATTGCTTGCTAAACTGGGTGCAAGCAAACAATATACATTTTAATGTGGCTAAATGTAAATATATATATCTGGGAACAAAGAATGGAGGCCATACCAACAGGACGGAGGACTCTATCCTGGAAAGCAGAGATCCTGAAAAAGATTTGGGGACTGTGATAGATAATCAGTTGAACATGAGCTCCCATGACCTGTGGCCAGTAGAGCTAATGTGACCCTGGCATGCATAAACGCGAGTCTCCAGTTGGAGCGGTGAGGCTATTTTACCTCTGTTTGGCACTGATGCATTTGCTACTGGAATACTGTGTCCAGTTCTGGTGTCCACAATTCAAGAAGGATTTTGAAAATTGGAGCGGGTTCATGGAAGAAAATGATTAGAAAGGATTAGAAAATATGCCTGGTAATGATAGACTCAAGGAGCTCAATTTATTTAGCATAACAAAGAGAAGGTTAATCGGTGACTTTATTACACTATATAAGTATCTACATAGGAAACAAAAATTTAATAATGGGCTCTTCAGCCTAGCAGAGAAACATGATCCAAAGGCTGAAGTTGAACCTAGACAAATTTAGACTGGAAATAAGGCATACATTTTTAATAGTGAGAGTAATTAACTATTGGAACAATTTAGCAAGGGTGGCGGTGGATTCTCTATCATTGAGAATTTTTAAATCAAGATTGGATGTTTTTCTAAAAGATATACTCTAGGAATTATTTGGGGGAAGTTCTATGGTATGTGTTATACAGGAGCTCAGACTAGAATCATCACAGTGTTCCCTTCTGACCGTGGAAACTATGAATGTACCTGAGTGATTTAGGAACATTGTTAGGATATAGATATTCAGGCCTGTCTGTAAAGGCCTATACTCTAAGAATTTAGGTATATTCTTATCACTTGGCTAGTGATAGAGGTATAAAAGAAAGAATCAAAATCACTGTCTGCTGGTGTAAGGGCCTTCTCTTACTGTGACAGTCTGAGGCCCTGTTCTTAGACTAAGGCCTTTGGCTAAGCAGCAGAGGCAGCCATAAGCTGGGAAGCAAACAGTCACATCCTCACATTCCAAACTAGTCACACTGAAATAAGGTGCTATTCGGCTGTTAGGAATACAATCCTGTCCTGATAGTTCCTATCACCTCCAGAGAAAGGGAAGTGCCTAGAAAATGTAAAAGGAAACTTAGGGTATGTCTACACTACGGAATAAGGTCGAATTTATAGAAGTCATTTTTTTAGAAATCGGTTTTATATATTCGAGTGTGTGTGTCCCCACAGAAAATGCTCTAAGTGCATTAAGTGCATTAACTCGGCGGAGTGCTTCCACAGTACCGAGGCTAGAGTCGACTTCCGGAGCGTTGCACTGTGGGTAGCTATCCCACAGTTCCCGCAGTCTCCGCTGCCCATTGGAATTCTGGGTTGAGATCCCAATGCCTGATGGGGTTAAAACATTGTCGCGGGTGGCTCTGGGTACATATCGTCAGGCCCCCGTTCCCTCCCTCCCTCCGTGAAAGCAAGGGCAGACAATCGTTTCGCGCCTTTTTTCCTGAGTTACCTGTGCAGACGCCATACCACGGCAAGCATGGAGCCCGCTCAGGTAACCGTCACCCTATGACTCCTGGGTGCTGGCAGACGCGGTACGGCATTGCTACACAGTAGCAGCAACCCCTTGCCTTGTGGTAGCAGACGGTACAGTACGACTGGTAGCCGTCATCGTCATGTCCGAGGTGCTCCTGGCCACGTCGGCTGGGAGCGCCTGGGCAGACATGGGCGCAGGGACTAAATTTGGAGTGACTTGACCAGGTCATTCTCTTTAGTCCTGCAGTCAGTCCTATTGAACCGTCTTATGGTGAGCGGGCAGGCGATACAGACTGCTAGCAGTCGTACTGTACCATCTTCTGCCAGGCAGGCAGGAGATGAGGATTGCTAGCAGTCTTATTGTACCATCTTCTGCCAGGCAGGCAAGAGATGAGGATGGCTAGCAGTCGTACTGTACCATCTTCTGCCGAGCAGCCATGAGATGTGGATGGCATGCAGTCCTTCTGCACCGTCTGCTGCCAGCCAAAGATGTAAAAGATAGATGGAGTGGATCAAAACAAGAAATAGACCAGATTTGTTTTGTACTCATTTGCTTCCCCCACTCCCCTGTCTAGGGGACTCATTCTTCTAGGTCACACTGCAGTCACTCACAGAGAAGATGCAGCGAGGTAAATCTAGCCATGTATCAATCAGAGGCCAGGCTAACCTTCTTGTTCCAATAAGAACGATAACTTAGGTGCACCATTTCTTATTGGAACCCTCCGTGAAGTCCTGCCTGAAATACTCCTTGATGTAAAGACACCCCCTTTGTTGATTTTAGCTCCCTGAAGCCAACCCTGTAAGCCGTGTTGTCAGTCGCCCCTCCCTCCGTCAGAGCACGTTCCGCGCCTTTTTTCTGTGCGGACACCATACCAAGGCAAGCATGGAGGCCGCTCAGCTCACTTTGGCAATTAGGAGCACATTAAACACCACACGCATTATCCAGCAGTATATGCAGCACCAGAACCTGGCAAAGCGATACCGGGCGAGGAGGCGACATCAGCGCGGTCACGTGAGTGATCAGGACATGGACACAGATTTCTCTGAAAGCATGGGCCCTGCCAATGCATGCATCATGGTGCTAATGGGGCAGGTTCATGCTGTGGAACGCCGATTCTGGGCTCGGGAAACAAGCACAGACTGGTGGGACTGCATAATGTTGCAGGTCTGGGACGATTCCCAGTGGCTGCAAAACGTTCGCATGCGTAAGGGCACTTTCATGGAACTTTGTGACTTGCTTTTCCCTGCCCTGAGGCGCATGAATACCAAGATGAGAGCAGCCCTCACAGTTGAGAAGCGAGTGGCGATAGCCCTGTGGAAGCTTGCAACGCCAGACAGCTACCGGTCAGTTGGGAATCAATTTGGAGTGGGCAAATCTACTGTGGGGGCTGCTGTGATGCAAATAGCCCATGCAATCAAAGATCTGCTGATATCAAGGGTAGTGACCCTGGGAAATGTGCAGGTCATAGTGGATGGCTTTGCTGCAATGGGATTCCCTAACTGTGGTGGGGCTATAGACGGAACCCATATCCCTATCTTGGCACCGGAGCACCAAGCCGCCGAGTACATAAACCGCAAGGGGTACTTTTCGATAGTGCTGCAAGCTCTGGTGGATCACAAGGGACGTTTCACCAACATCAACGTGGGATGGCCGGGAAAGGTGCATGATGCTCGCATCTTCAGGAACTCTGGTCTGTTTAAAAAGCTGCAGGAAGGGACTTTATTCCCAGACCAGAAAATAACTGTTGGGGATGTTGAAATGCCTATATGTATCCTTGGGGACCCAGCCTACCCCTTAATGCCATGGCTCATGAAGCCGTACACAGGCAGCCTGGACAGTAGTCAGGAGCTGTTCAACTACAGGCTGAGCAAGTGCAGAATGGTGGTAGAATGTGCATTTGGACGTTTAAAGGCGCGCTGGCGCAGTTTACTGACTCGCTTAGACCTCAGCGAAACCAATATTCCCACTGTTATTACTGCTTGCTGTGTGCTCCACAATATCTGTGAGAGTAAGGGGGAGACGTTTATGGCGGGGTGGGAGGTTGAGGCAAATCGCCTGGCTGCTGGTTACGCGCAGCCAGACACCAGGGCGGTTAGAAGAGCACAGGAGGGCGCGGTACGCATCAGAGAAGCTTTGAAAACCAGTTTCATGACTGGCCAGGCTACGGTGTGAAAGTTCTGTTTGTTTCTCCTTGATGAAACCCCCAGCCCCTTGGTTCACTCTACTTCCCTGTAAGCTAACCACCCTCCCCTCCTCCCTTCAATCACCGCTTGCAGAGGCAATAAAGTCATTGTTGCTTCACATTCATGCATTCTTTATTCATTCATCACACAAATAGGGGGATGACTACCAAGGTAGCCCAGGAGGGGTAGTGGAGGAGGGAAGGAAAATGCCACACAGCACTTTAAGCACAGCACTTTAAAAGTTTACAACTTTAAAATTTATTGAATGACAGCCTTCTTTTTTTTGGGCAATCCTCTGTGGTGGAGTGGCTGGTTGGCCGGAGGCCCCCCCACCGCGTTCTTGGGCATCTGGGTGTGGAGGCTATGGAACTTGGGGAGGAGGGCGGTTGGTTACAGAGGGGCTGCAGTGGCAGTCTGTGCTCCAGCTGCCTTTGCTGCAGCTCAACCATACACTGGAGCATACTGGTTTGGTCCTGCAGCAGCCTCAGCATTGAATCCTGCCTCCTCTCATCACGCTGCCGCCACATTTGAGCTTCAGCCCTGTCTTCAGCCCGCCACTTCCTCTCTTCAGCCCGCCACTTACTCTCGTCAACCCGCCACCTCTCCTCCCGGTCATTTTGTGCTTTCCTGCACTCTGACATTATTTGCCTCCACGCATTCATCTGTGCTCTGTCAGTGTGGGAGGACAGCATGAGCTCGGAGAACATTTCATTGCGAGTGCGTTTTTTTTTCTTTCTAAGCTTCACTAGCCTCTGGGAAGGAGAAGATCCTGTGATCATTGAAACACATGCAGCTGGTGGAGAAAAAAAAAGGGACAGCGGTATTTAAAAAGACACATTTTATAAAACAGTGGCTACACTCTTTCAGGGTAAACCTTGCTGTTAACATTACATACATAGCACATGTGCTTTCGTTACAAGGTCGCATTGTGCCTCCTCCCACCGCGTGACTACCCCCTCAACCTTCCCCCCTCCCTGTGGCTAACAGCGGGGA